TCTCTCTCTCTCTCTCTCTCTCTCTCTCTCTCTCTCTCTCTCTCTCTCTCTCTCTCTCTCTCTCTCTCTCTCTCTCTCTCTCTCGCCGTCTCTGGGTTATCTCTTTTTTTTTTGGAAGCTCGGGATTGTGCCAAAATTCTAAGGCCAGCGTCGTCATCTCGGTCATCTCCTCTAGCTTGGATGTGCCTTCATCGTCGACGCTTCCCTCGCTCGATTTGGCTTTTTTCGTGCATGGAATGGAATAAGGACGGCTACAGTGAAAATGAATGCCACGATTGTCCCGGCTATGACAGGAAGTTTCAGCTGGTGTTTGAGTACCAGTATTGGAGAGGTACTTCCTATGCGGTACAGGTAACTGTTACAGTAATAAAATATGTATGGTCAGGGGTCAAATTGGTAATCTATGCCGATTACTCGATCTAAAATGCGACTGAGAGTGAGAAATAGATTTATGGAGCATGAATACGATGGACTGAATAAAAAAGCATTGCTGGGGTATGACTATACAGTACATTACTTGTCACGGCGCCGGAGTTTTGAATATTGTACGTGTATAAGACCAAAGAAAGCCGTGTCAAAAATGTTAATCCGCATTTTTACGCCTGTTAATATGATCGCCATCACTTGTTTTGTCTTGGTTTGATGAGGGTTAGTTTGTCTGAGGGGATGTATTGTGCAACTAATTTTCTGGGAAGAATTCCTGGCATTTTTAATGCGTTTTTTATTGTGTGTGACGTGACACCTGTGTGTTGAACTCATGAAACCTGGAAAGGCCCTGTTGAAACGCAGTGCTAATTTTACAAATGGTACCACTCGGGATATTACGGATGGTTACTGTCACATTCTGAATGTGGCGCAATCCGTGACTGCTGAAAAGCTTGTAGGTCACGTTGCCTGCCTCGAGAGTCGTGCTTTCGATTTAGTTATATGTCGATCGAATGGGGGATGTAACGAGGGTTGGTATCCGCAAAAATGCCCGGAATCCGAATCATGTTAATTGATAAGCAACGGCGAGCCCCGCAACAGCATTTAAAAATTCATACCGTATTTTCGCCCGAGCCGCGGCCAAAAGCGAGAGCTGATAAGTTTTTATAGCCCCTAGACTTCCGTGTTGGAGCCCCCGGTGGGAATGCTCTTTGTGGATGCATAAACATACTTGGCTCTCGCGGAATGGGATAAGTTGAAAGACCCATATTTCCCCTGATGGGCCATCGCGACGGCGTCCCTCGCGCTTTTCTTTGATTGAGGCGGGTTGGCTTGCGTATGCCGATCGCCGCTGGGCTTTGCAGCAGTCGGTGCCTGCAAAAGGCGACGCTCTGGGAGTCTGGGATTGATGGCGACGATATCTGGACAGCCAGCTTGATACTGCTCATTGCTGCCTTGCAGATGCCGTCTGGGCTGGGATGGCGAGACGTGCGGGCAGTGCCGCGTGCTTCCGGGCTGCAAAAACGGATTCTGCACGCGGCCGCTGGAGTGTCGCTGTCACGACGGCTGGTCCGGCATCTTTTGCGACATACGTGAGTATATTGTCAAGCGTAGGGTGCATTGCCGTGCACCCAGGTTTCCTCCGAGAGATGCGTTTCTTTCTGTCCCCCCTATTGACTGCGACGGTTGCAAGGAGGAACAACGCAACTGCTGGTGCGTTCGCGATATGCAGTGGGGCGACCTGCGAAAGGAAACGTTTTTTTCAGGGGGACAAGTTTCTTCTTCTTCTCTTTTCCATTTGTTGATTGAATTTCCTAATGTCTGGAATCGATTGCGATTTTCTTCAGCCAGCTGGGCAGCAGCCGAAGTCGCGAACACTGCCAGATCATTGCATTTCCTCGAACACAAGTCGCCCTTTCTCCGGACTGACTCATAAAAAATGAAAAATAAGGAATTCTTATCAAAATTTTAGGCCAGGGGTCCAAGAATGTGCACCCATGCAATCGGTTACTTTATTTCTAACTTGTCGAACATCTTTCTTCCCACGAAGAAAAAACATTTGAAAGATTATCCAAACCACAAAAAACTGTCAACTCACGGTGCGAATGTAAAAACGCGTCTGGCAAACTTTTTTCAACGCTTGGAGGTTCTTAGCGAGGGGTACTTTTTTGTAGCATCATAAGAATTGTCACCATTTTTCGTTGCAATATAAAGATCTACTGATCGATAAAATGGGTACACGTTTTGGTCCAGCTTGAAAAAATATTGTGCATGAATGGAGTTCCTGGCTTATAATGACGTAACCGTTTCGGATTCGCCGTCAGCGTGTTTTTAATTTGAATGGCTGAAAAATTAGTTTCATGTAGAACCAACCGATTTGCATAGACGATGTACTGTAATACAGTATGAAAACAAATGCCTTGTTACCTCAGTCCTTCACACACGCATGCAAATTCGCAATGAATACAAATAATATTTGATTAAATACTTTCCGATCTTGTAAGTGCAACCATTTACATTCTCCAGTCAAGTGACAACTTTTTTTCTAATCCACATAGGACCATGAACTCCTTCTATTCAACAAAGTTCCGGGGAAAGTTCCCTAATCATGCATGGTGCACTGCATTCGTACAATTGTTGGGGAAACGTAAACATTCTAGTGCCCCATTCTTTTCGGCTGTGGACGCGTAATTTAGCAGCGTTTGTTTCATTTTTTTCCCGGTCGATACTGCAGCAATTTGCAAGCGAGGCTGCGACCCAGAGCACGGGTACTGCGAACGGCAAGGCGTTTGTCGGTGAGTCCTCACAGCACCCTTGAATTAGTCGGTGTTATGGATAGAAATACCCTGTTATTTACCACCTTCTATTCAAAGGAAAAATGCAAATGCTCGCATAATACGTTAAAAACCTCCTTGGAAAAGGTATCACGCGTTCATTGCATTTTTATTGCCTCAAGAGATTCTACGATTACTTTTTTTTTCTAAAAATACGAAGGCCGTCGAAGGTAAATCGAAGTAAAATCCAGGAGTTTCTCGGACACTTCCGTCCAAAGTAGGATCTTCTGCTTTGCTGTTCCTGCGTAGGTTGAACCACCTGTGGAAAGCAGCTTTTGGCTTCCAAAGATAGAACAAGTTCATCGGGTCCACTTGGATTTTCCGAGGAGAGTCCTAGCCGGAATCAAGTACCCGAAGAGAATTAATTTATTCGACGATTCCTGCAATTATAAGAAGCTGCCTGCGTTCATTTTCCATTTTAATGCAAATTGCCGTGATTTGTGATTTGATTGCATGCCATTATTAATTGAGATAACCGATTGTGTGCGCCCGACAATCGTTTTGGTCTTGTAAAATATCTAAATGAATACAGTAAAGATGTACAATGAATACAGAATACAAATATGTAAATGAATACCCCCCTATTTTTTTAAATCCGAATACGAACTAGTGATTTTTCGCTGGTTGGTCTTGAATCCAGATGAAATGTGGCTCAGTGATTAAATTTTGAATGTTAGTTTAATGTCTGAGATGTGGGAAGAATTTTTCGTGAAACTACGGAGGTAGACCTGTGGAAAAATAATTCAAGTGAGAGGATCAGGACGAAGGACTTAGGCTTTAACCTGTTCCATGCGAAGGAAAAGGTAACTTTTCCACCTTCACATTGCATGAATGTAATCTTGGCTTCTTTCCGATCGAGTGAGGCATAAATTTAGGAGAGTGTCCGGAAATGGGTCAATGGCTTTTTCGATGAATATATCTTGTTTTCAGGGTAACTTGGCTTTTTTTTTAGTATTTCGCTGGAAATGGCGGTGATAATCTGTGTATTATCGGTCTTACTCCTGCTCAATGTGGCTTTACATATTTTAAGCAAACGAGGCTTCAAAGAAGCTCAATTCCGTACTCCCGAGCAGCTGTCTTTTTTTTTCTTGTGGGTGCGGAAGTGAGCAATTGGAATGGGAGGTTCAATGGCTTACTAAAGACAGAGTTCATGCCCCAATGACGTTAATTTTTTTTGAAGTTTCTAAAAGAAATTATTTGAAGAACTTGAGATTCTTAGTTTATATTATGAAGGAGTAATAACTAAATCTATACCTGCCTCAAGCAATTTTTTTCTCATTCAGATGCAAGCTCGGATGGACGGGGGAGTTCTGCAATGAGTGCGTTCCGTACCCAGGTTGCAAGCGAGGGACGTGTCGGGATCCATGGGAGTGCAAATGTGAACCTGGATGGGGTGGATTCCTTTGTTCTGACAGTAGGTGTTTCAGAATCTCCAAAGCATAAATCCTATATCTCAGAAATAAATAGGTACGAAGTATTTTTTTTTCCATTTCAAACTTCCCAAGCACACACAAATTTCTCTAGGATATGTTTTTGACGTGATCAACTATTCATGATGAATGACTTCAATCGACTTCGGCAGTAAACAATCCTGGGTTGATACCCGAGTACTTCAACGGGGATGATGAAAAGAAAAAACGCGTTCGATCAAATTTTGTAAAAATTTACTCATACAGAGCAAGAAACCCATTATTTAAATAAACCTTTCTTACCATTCAAAGAATGACACACTTCCCGTTTTCATTTCTTTTTGTATATGAAGCAATAAATAAAAAATAAGACACCATTGATTGCAAGACACCTATCTATTTTTCGCTTAAAAGTAAAAGTAAATCGATGCAGTGCTGCTGGAACCCTCTTTTTTTCAAATGATCTTGACAGAAATAAAGATCATATTCATTGATCCTAAAACGAAAAATTATAGCACTATTGGTTGAATTGAATTTGGCCCATTTGAAAAACTGTCTTTAACGGAAATATGCCCTCAACCATCGATTCCAAGACGTCATAAACTTCTGTGAAAAAATTACTTGTATTCAAGCAAATACTGTCGTTAGGTTTTAGTGTGACTGGCATACACGCGCAAGCCGACGTTTGTGATGCAGATTCAAAATGTTCAAGTTTAGCGCTATTAACGGTACTAGTGTTGAATTATCCGTTGTGGATGCAGGCGAATAGTAAGATTATGCAGGGACGATTTGACTGGACATCCGTGATCTCATTGAAATCCGAAAATTTGAGATCCCTTCAGACTCTGCTCGACGAAAAGCAGACGACGATAAATTCGACTGTAAAGTCGAATTTCGAGCAGCCAACTTTTCTATGTTCCTTCCTTCTCCATCGTGGCTCGCTTATTTATGCAGCGCACAGGCACAGCTGTTGAAAGAGGATTAGTCTGATGAATGGAGACGCAGGGCAGGCGGAAGTTTTATAAAACTGGATGAATTGTGCTTGCCTAGTTGTGTCTTCATGTTTATACATACGCGCTGTGCCTCGTTTCTCTTTTTCATCACGTCTTCCTCTTCTTTTTTTTTTAACCGAGACCCGAACAAGCCTCCTATCTTCGTGACACCGTCGCTTCCCTGGACCTGATCCTTCTAATTATTCACGTTCACGCAGATATATTAATCACGGAGGGGTTTCCCCTTCCGTATGAGGCAGCTTGTACTAACTTGGATTAGCAAAAACCCTTGCGTTCGATTAAGCAGTGCTGTGATTGGTGACCTCTTTCTAACGTCGTCCAATTCAAAGCCCGAAGGAAAGATGAGGATTTCATCGTAGGTGCTAAAGATCCGCTATTTTTATTGTTTCCGTCGGTAAATATGCATTCCATGAATACACTCTCAAATTTAAGGAGCGGTTCCGCTCTGGTAACACTGAAATTGAAAGTGATATTCACGAGAGGATTAAATTCTAATGCTTCCAGCGTCGCGTTTGCATACCATAGGAATATTTTTCTAAAAAAATGTAGTTCAAGAATCCCACTGGATCTGGGTAAGCGTGACTTGTTTTAGAATTACGGAGAAGCGGGAAATCGTCCGTTGGAGAACGACGCATCGCTTAAATATTGTTTTAGGATGATGGACCAGAACTGCAACCACTCTTGGATGACAAATAAATTTTGCATGAGGTTCATTAATGCTCAGAAAATACAAGCATTTATCTTTCAAAGCTCCACCTTTTTGTCAAAGGAATGCGGGTTGAACTTACACACAGTTTTTCGAATCGTTGATAACCTTCATTTGCTTATTGTCACTCGAACACTCCGCGAGTTTTTTTTTATTTTGACAACATTGAACTCTGAACATGTATTCAGGAAATGTCTCCGCAAAATCAAACTGAAAATGTTGTAAAATATTCACCGAACGATAATGGAAACAATTTTTCCCTGAGTTTTTCTCTGAACCAATGATCGGTGAGAAAAAGACGAATGTTGAAACCGCTCATGCTGGAGATAGATCACTTGACCCATCAATACTGTATTGATTGCATGAAAAACCAGTTGCTGAAGATGGTTTTGATGTCAGTTTTTGCAAAAAGTACTATTCGGGAGATGAATATGAGCTATAAAAACCACAAATGAGGCTTTCATTCCTGGTGCATCTGAGTTGCGACCACTTTTCTTCAAGTATGTTGTCCTCCGGAAAAATGGGTCGATGAAGAGCGTTGAAATCTGATATTGCAGCTTTCGCGGTTCAGGAGAGAAACTTTTTAATTTCTCTTTCCGTCGATGCTCGATGGAAAGTTCGAATTTTATGCGGTCGCTGGGGTCTTTGTTTTGCATGGACGAAGTAGGTGAACGTTGAAGCTAACTCATTCTTAATGGATCGTTCCGCCATTTATGAGTTTGCACTGCTGGCAGGATAAATATGTACGTTTCATCATTGCTAAGAATATAGATGCACTTAACTCATTATTTACGGGTTGTGTCGGAGTGTGAGCCATAACGGAATGGTTTGATTCTCTAAAAAGCATTCCTCATTCATATGCGATTTCTCGCATCACTTTCTGAAGCTATTCAAGGTAGTGTTCTCGACATGATGGCCGTTCGCACTTGGTGGGTTCTGATCTATATAAGCCGTGGAGATGGGTGTGATGGGTCTTATCTCTTATGTGGGAATGGTGCGAAGCAGAGGAATGAAGTGGCTGGCGGCTTTGTTGTGCAGGGCTGGACTTCTGCCTCAAGAACCCGATGCTGTGCTTGAACGGGGGGAACTGCACGAGTTTGCCGGCCGAAGACGGGCACTATTCTTGTAGCTGCTTACCAGGGTTCAGCGGGTCGCGGTGCCAGGACTCGGCACCAGGCCTCAAGGCGTCCAGCTCCACGTCGATGCCCTTGGTTGTGGTGACGGCTATCCCGATTCCCGTCAAGGAATCGACAGACGCGTCACTGACGAGGCGTTCAAACGCGACAGTCTCGTCGTCCCGACTGCCGATCACCAACGCCGAAACGCGTCCGACACCGGACGACAAGGAGAACGAGCTGCTTCGTCGTCGAGCCTGACCAAAAGTTGACCAACTGTCAATTATTTATTGCGCCTCACATGCTTATTTTCGCAAAAACATTCCGCCCATGACCACGGAATTCCAAGTATCTTTCTGTTGTGCGTCTTTGAATTCCTCGCATTGAAAATAATTTATATCCGCTGATCTTGGCTACCTTTCTGTGGACTTGAAATTAACTGACTTCATGCCACAGTTAATTTCGGTGCTACCACCCGTACCGCTGCTCAATTTGAAAAGCACATGTTTTGTACCTGAAATTTGTGGCACACGTCACACGGAAACTTGCTTATATAGGTGGGCTAAATATCAGATGCGATATTTCGGATTGTAAAGCAGTCAAAGTAATCTAGAAGAGGAGTAACGAATTACAGTAGAATGAAATTCATTTCGGCAGCTTCGTTTCCTTTGATTATCTCAATTGTAAACATTTTATTTAAAAATAATTCAGATTAAAATAAACTGTCTTCTCAGAGTGACGTGTGTCCTTAGAAATCGTTTGAAACGTTTAGGCTATATCGTTAGCTTAAGATTTTTCATTCATATATGTTTTAGTTTTCCTATGGATTCGGTTAATCGAAGCATGGGTAATGGAGGCTCTTGAAGTAAAAGTGAAATGGTGCATTGAACAGGAAATTGGAATGAAGAAAAAAAATCCACGAATTAAATTGCGAAAAAGAGCTAGTACTGTGCGATGAACTGGAGACTAAACTAAATAAATGTGAGTGCTCAGCTTATATTAGCAAATAGAACTATTTTGATGGATGTCTGGTGTTAAAAAAAAAAATTATCGTCCAGACTGAACTTATGGGATTTCATTGAACCGGAATTTTAAATGGTAGTTTTTGCTCTGTTCGAGACGCTTTTTGTTCATTGGAGGACTGGATCATGCGTTTTTGTATTTAATTTGCGAGGTCCTTATGCAAAAAAAAAAAAAGGATTCCCTTGTTGCAAGTCTGTCAGGTGGCCAGTGCAGCGCACTTTGAAGAATAATAGGAGAAAGCTGCGAAGCACATAGACGAGTTGAGCGGGGACGCTTCACGAAGAGGTGTTCCGTCGTTGTTGATTGATGTTGACTGGCGATTATTCACACGCGGCGGGATTTGTATGAATTTCTTGTGCGATGCGAAGGAGCCGGATTTTGTTTTTTTTTTTGCAGCGAAGCACGTTGTATGGAATCCAAACTTTCATCCAGCCTTCAACGAAATCAACGAGGCGATGCTGCACCGCTGTTGACGGAATAAATAATCCTTGCGAGAAACCGGGATCCTCGGCATTTTATTTCTCAACGTTTCTCTCCTCAGGCTATTTTTCTCCGTACCCGGGCACAATATCACGATACCCAAGACGTCGTCGCCCACTTGCACCGCATGCAGAAATGACAAGTTAAATTCCCCGAATAGTCCCGTTCACGGTTGTTGGTGCGGCCGGAGAAACTCTAGCTTGTCGTCATCATTATTGATCAAGCGTCGATCATTTGATTGCTATTCCACTGATGCCTCACTTCAATATTTCTTGGTGGTGCGACGTTGTGCACTTCTATCCGAGATTTGGAAGTCGAAAGCGTGTGGTATTTCTGAAAGAATGCCGAGTTCTTAGTGAGGATAAGCTTGCTTCTATGCATCGATCGTCGTGATATCAGTGAACCAACCTGTAATAAACCCCGGTCCGTACGTGGTTATCACGCGCTACAAAGTTATTATTGAAACGCCATCCATTTCGTGCAGAGAATCCCGTGCACGCAAATTTACTGATCGTTCAGCATTTGTTTTTACCATTCGCAATTCGCTAGAAAATATGGTGGTTTTATGGGCCGATAAAAATGGCAGAGGAGTTATTCCAGTTAAGCTTTGCATTCGTACGAGTACGGTTCAATGTCCCGCCTTATGCAAAGTAGGCGCATTTCACGTGTTCAAAAGCATTCTTCAAAAAGTACTCCCCGTAGCTGAAAATTTTCTTTGTCATGTAGTGTGAATATAACCAGCAGTTTAGGAAGGTTTCAAGCGATTTCCGAGATTTCATCTGATTCATGGCCCCGAATCCCACGTGAGCTTCGTCCCTCTGCTCGCGTTGACGAATTAAACTCGGCTTTTTAAACTTGGAAATCCGTTTTGGTGAAAACATATCTGCCAAAATATTCTTTTTTGCTTCCGAAGTAATGTATTTTGAGTGCTTTGTTTGCGTAGAACATCAAACAAGATTTAATTATCATATTCGCACAAGTGCTCTATCAAACGACGTAATCCACTTAGCTTTCGAATTTCCATCAAAGAAGGTTGTTGAAAATAATGAAGGCTCCTCTAATTGATAAGAGGTACTTTTCAAGGGAAAAACGACTGGATACGTTTTGTTTTCCTCATTCAAGCTTCAAATGTTCCGCAAGATTATGGTTTTTTCAACAAAAATGAACCAAATCCGCTAATTCAATGCAACACACGCCCTATATATGCATAATCTTCAATATGAATGTTTTTCGAATGCTCACGTACGCATCACATGATCGCGAAAATAAATCAATTACATGTGCTCCTTTAAAAAATGCGCTCTCATTCAATCTATAATTTTCAGAAAAAAATTTATTTAAAAATTGGATTGGAAAGCTAAGTGAAGATTTTATAAAACTTCTCAACAGATCAGTCAAAAGATCGAGCCGAAATAATCTATGCAGAAAACCATTTTATTTCAACTACTGTATAAGGAATTATGTACTCAGGGCGACAACGCTGCATTCTGCAACCGTTTGGAATAACCCGCTTTTCAAATTTGAGAATATTTTTTTGAATGAGCGAGCCAACCCTACCGCTAACTTTGGAACATTAAATTAGTACCCCCCGCTTGGTGGTTCCTTGGGATTCATTCAATGCAGTGATCAGGTAGGACATGCTTTGTTGGACCTTCACTATCCCTCGCCGGAAGCTATTGGCAAATTTCCTCGGGGCTATTTCATTTTAAAATGTATGCGTTGATCCATTCCTAAAACGTTAAAATGGAGATCTTCAAAAAGCTAATCAAATAAAATTTTAATTTCTTTGTCAAACGGTTGAGGGAGCGTGAAAAGCTGAAAATCATTGAGCTTTATTTCGGTCCATATTTGAAGAGTTACAACGAACTCTTGTGCAGCACAGCATTATATTACCGCGCGCAAATCAATTGATGACAGTACAGTACTGTACCTCTATAGAACAGAATGCTCATTCAGCGATCCATATTTCGAAGCTGATGACCTTGATTTCCGGGACGACGAACTTCAACCGCTGAAACATGCCCTCTACGTGTTGTGATGACGGGTGTGCCGCCGTGATCTCGGACCAAAGCGAACGAAATCCCCGAGGATGGGGATCAGCTCGGTGACATGACCCAGTTGGACCAGTAAATGTCCTCGTCGAGACCCACAGTGCGCGTTGCAGACATATCAGCAATGACAATGTTGGCCTATGCTGGCCTCCGGGGAGCAGCCTGCGGATGCGTGATGTTGATCCGGGTTCTGGTTTTAATCAAGCACTCCGACCGTACTGGGACCCGCATTTCCTCGGGAGGGTAAAATTCCCTGGGATTCAGCCACGGAGATTCATCGCTTGCGGCCGAGGTTTCCGCGGGTGTTGACGGATTCCTTGTGCCCAGAAGCACGGCAAGTAATTTTATTCCGCTACAGTTACAGCAAATTTATCTCGCTACTTATTTTTCCTGGTCGGCAGGCGATGACGTGAACCGTCGGACTGGGTCACTTGTTGGCTTGCTGACGACTGCTTCTTTTTCGCCCTCCAGCAGCTGCCAAGGTCTGAATGAACCCTTTTGACGTTCTCGTGACAACAATCCCGCTCCCGACCGAATGCGATGGAATTTCGTGAGAATGCGACCGCGGATTGGCGAAATGCGGAAGAGTTTCACTAGGCACGCGAATCCATTCCCGAGTCTAGCCTGCGAATGGGGACGCCTCGAATAAAAATAATTATCTCGGCGCCGTGCCTGAAATTGATATCTTTGGTTGATAATTTCTCTACGTACCTAGTGTGGTACTGTCAAGTAAAATGAGATCAACACCGCGGAATAACTGATGTCCTGCTCTCCGAGTTGGAAAGTTTGGAAATGATATGCAAGCGAATGTCCGGTTACCTTCTGCTCGACTGAGGCCCCATGCATTCTCGTGGAAATCGCAAGAGTGTGCTCATTGAGTCGTACTCTTTTCTGAACACGAATGGAATTCATTACTTTCCTTTACCCTTGGATGGAACTCTCGGGAAACAGTTTTCGGATACAGTACTATACTGTACTTTATTTACGTGGCTATACAGGCCGCATTTTTCTCTGCAATTAAAGACTTGGGTGGGGGATGCTCTCCAGTTTTTCAAAGGCAGGCTGTAGTTATTACAAAGTGTGGCCCATATTCGAGACCACGTGGATGTATGAAATCAAGTAAAATAAGAATAAACAAAACAAATCCTGCTCACCGAACAATAATTGAAGAAAGCACGAAATCCGCGGAGAAATGAGCTCAAAACTGGTACTGTACTTGCTTAGTTATTCATTTTATAGGAATTCCTGACCGGGCCCATTTTGACTTGTATATAATTAAAACATTTGGGACTTGTCGATTATTATCGAATGCAAAGGCCGATTTTACTCCATCGTAGTTACTGCTGTACACAGCAGGTAGAATATATCGAAGAAATTACCAAGAAAATGGTTCATACTTAATTCTTATTACAGTACTATTAATGTCTAACTAAGAATAACCTTAGGTTGATGTTAAATATTACATACCTTTGTGTCTAGTAGACTCAAAGAAATGTTGGCGAGAACATTACGGAAGTATAATGTTCGAGCTTTTCCCCCTTTCTTCAACATTACGTATGTTATTTCTGCCAAACTTTTTCCTGCTGGCCTCTGGAAATGTTCCAGACGCCAACAGGCTACAATGATTTACTTCCCATTGACAGCTTAATAATGGAGGCTGTAATTGTCTATCAAATCTAAACACTGCTACGCACAGTATCAATTGCGGGAGTAACCCCCAGCTTGGGAGTGGAGCGTCATTATTAATCGTTAGTTGGGTATAAAGGCTTGTTGGTTAGCCAAGATTTCTCATTAATAAAAACGGCAATGGAAACCGAGCAATGATGAAGCGCAGTCCTCACGCGACCGGAACCTTTCTCGTTATTCAGGGATCTCATTCGCGAGCAACCCAGTCGACGTCGCGATTCCGGGAATCAAGAACCCGTGAAAGCGACGTCATTTGTTTCCGGGCTTCTGAAAATGATTGCTGTGCCACATCCGAAGGCGGCTTTGGCAAACCCCCGGCCGCGATTTCTCATCATCGCCGCCGACAAATGACGCGGATCGAACTAACGGCTTTCCCACCTGATCGACCCCAAAGGAAACCCGGTATGATTATTGATGATAAATTTGAGGATCGCGGCCCGTTACCCTGTGCAAGACAGAAGCCCGCCGCCAGCCACGCATATCAATGAGTCCCTCTTCATATGGTTGGCAGGAATGAAAACACCGTTTGTTTGAGGACCCGGGAAACAAAAATCGAGGCCGCCTCAGTGTTCTGTTCCGACAGCTAGTACCCGGGGCGCGGAAGAGACGACGAGCAACAAATGCGGAAATTGAATCAGTATATCTGAGAGCGCGATGTTTGCTTCTTGGTGTGAGCATTAGCGAGACGCCCCGTGATCCTATCGAATAACCACGAACATTGTTCCCCTCGCAGCGTCGCGATATTTTCTTTGTCCGCGAGATGAAGCCCTGACGCGCAGGGAACCAGTCGGTGCAGAATAAATAAGGAGGAGAAGCGGGATTTCACAGGCGTGACACGAGGCCCTCCATTTCCCCTGTGTCAAGAATAATCATGACCGCAAGTCGACCATAAAATGGGTTTCACGCTGTGTGCGCCGTGCGCTTGCAATCCCGGGCTTTCTATCCGCGCCGCGAACGCGTATCGCTCGCACCTTTCCAGGTGATCGACTACTGTCGCAGGGCCAGCATGCATGATTGACCTCGTCTGGCCGGTCGATGTAATTCCTGGCAGTTTCCCGAAAAGCGGCACGAATCTTGAGTCGCAGAAAATGACGCATCCGGCGTCCACGCGAAATTGCGTGTCCGCGTTTCCGGTTTCTCGGATCCGGCGATCATTGCCCGCGTTCGCCTGTCGATTTCCGGCCATGGGCTGCCCAGCACTACTGTATTCTGTTTTCCTCGCTGTTCCTGCCCGATCCTCTTCTTGATGTCTTTGTGAATAAGCTCTGATGAAAGTAAAATAAATT